TAAATATTTTCCACTGTCTGATGGAAATGAAGGACCTCTCAGTACATCAAGAGATCCAAGAGTTCCTGAAGTCACAGAACAAATCAAAGAAGGAACTCTCTGGAATTGAGTGCACAGCTCTTGCATATATGCTGTTGATGTCAGAAAAGGTTTTGGATGAGTTGGATCTGAAAGAATACAAAACATCGAAGGAAGGACGATGGAGACTGCTTCCAGCTGTGATGAATTGCAGAAAGGCCCGGTGAGTCTAGATTTGATTAACATTATAAAACAGACTAGATTAATAGTTTAGTTCTTAAAGTTATTCTTACTAAAAGATTCTCTCTTCTCATTACACAGTTCCAGTTATTTATTGGAAACATTATGAACATGTTTTTTTTTGGTTGTTTTTTTTGTTGTTGTTTTTTTGCTTTTTTAACCAAATATTATTTGGGTGATTACATTTTTAAACATCTTCAGCTGAAACAGTGACTGTGGCCAAATGTTAAAGTAATTGGATAACACTTCATGTTGTTACAGTGGTTGATTTTCAGCAATACAAATTAAATCAGTCAAGTGATTCAGTACAGTCAGTTTTAATAATATCTATTTGAAGCTTAATTACATCACAGTGAGTGGTCATAAATTAATCACATGAGACTGTGATAGGAAGGACCCAAGCACGTAGTGTTGCAAGATGAGTGTTTGTTTGTTTATTTACAAAGTGTTTTAACCAGTTTGCTTTTAGCAGCTTTCCAGGTGCACACTTCAGTTCAGTACCACACACAGCTCTGTCCTGTTGTTCAACTTTCACTCCTTTCTCAGGCCCCAGCAGCTACTGAAATAGGGTAAACATGATTAGCATGCCAGACTTCCCTTGGTCCCCTGCAGTTGAGCCACAAACAACACCCTGCCCCAGAGACAAAAACTGACACTGCAGTCTTTTTTTGATTGACTTTTACTGATCCTGAGTCCAACTTTTCATTTTAGCACTGTGGAGTTAACAGACACAGCAGAACTTCCAAATCACATGAAGGATTTAAGATGACATAGCAGCAAGACACACCCTCATTGCATCTCCATTGAAAGTGGGGAATTCAAACTATTAACCAGTTTATAAATTGTGTTGATAGGACAGGAAAAATCAGACTTAATTAATAGATAGTTTCAGACTTTTCTTGAATGTTGTCACCATGTTTAGTACAGGGAGAAATGTTAAAAACTGGAAATTCTAAGGAAAGTGCTCCCAAGTAGAAAGTGCTTGCAAGTAAAAAGAAACAACAAACAACAAAATGATAACCACAGAAATGATAAACTCTTGCACTTTCCTTCCAGGAAGGAAAACATGTATTTACCTTCTTGGATTTTATGTTTTTTTGTGTGTGTGAATTCAGGCTGAGTTTGTTAATACATTAAAAAAATAATTCACACATCAGTTTTCTCTCTTTCATCTGCACATTAGATCAAAACAAAGATTGAAGATATCTATGTCTGAGAGGAATGGAGGAGAATTATTAGAATTATTATTAGAATGTTTCATGTCAGTCTGATCAGATCAGCTGCACCACTGATGTTAAGAGACAGTATCTAGTTGTTTTGCATCAAGTCCACAAAATAAATAAAATGTTTTTTCTTCATAATAACATGTTTTTATTATTATATTATATTTGCAATTATGTGTCAACACAGACTTCATGATGTTTCTGTTTATGGGCAACGGTGTGGAGCTGTGGCCTCAGCTCTGACGTCGGACCCCTCCCATCTGAGAGAGCTGCACCTGATTTCAGTCACTGTGCTGGAGCCAGCAGATGAACTTTTTGCTTGTCTGGGGCATCCAAACTGTAGACTGGAGACACTCAGGTCAGTTAACTGAAACTGAAACTGAATCTGTTGTTATTTATAAAGTTATTTCACTAATAAGTAATCCAACTCCAGTAATGTAGGATGGAGGACAGGGATGCACCAATCCAACATATTTATATACATATTTAATATGGTACCTTGGCTTCACCACATCAAGACTTGGCTTTTAGTAGGTGATTTTGGAGACTGTATAATGAATGTATGTGTATAAACAGTCAAGCCCATAATTATTCCGAGCACTCGCAAATTTTGACTTGAAAGTTACCTTTATTCAACCAGGTATTTTTTTAGTTGGATCTGGTTTCTGTCGAAAGACAATAGCTTTTTTTTAAATTTATTATTATTATTATTATTATATGAGCAAAAAGTGCCAGGTCCAAAATTATTCATACCCATCACAAACTGTCACAGTCACTGGGAAAATCCAATGTTCTTTCCAAATAGTCAAAGCTGTTCTAATAATCCTACCTTGACTAATTGGAAACAGCTGTTTTAACCAACTCAACAGGGCTCTGCAGTTGGCTTGTGGACAGTCATGGCTAAGATAAAGGAGCTTAGTGAGGACCTGCAGC